CTCCATGGGGTTCTAGCTCGTTTTTTCTCACCCCGAGAAAGCTTCAACTGCGGCACATCCAACAGTACATCTATGCTTTCCCAGGGTGGTGAAGGATGTTGATGCCTACGTGATCGACACCGGGCACCAACGTCGAGCACGTTGACTTTGAAGGGTCGCGCTAAATGGGACATGACTATTCCCGACCACGACGAGGATGTTGACGGCAACGGCCACGGAACCCACTGCTCCGGTACCATTGCTGGCAAGAAGTATGGTGTTGCCAAGAAGGCGCACGTCTTTGCCCGTCAAGGTCTTGAGAACCAGTGGCTCTGGTACCATGTCTGATGTCGTCAAGGGTGTCCAATGGGCCGCCGAAAGCCACTTGAAGCAGGTTGGCGAGGCCAAGAAGGGTAACCGAAAGGGTTTCAAGGGAAGTGTTGCTAACATGAGCTTGGGAGGCGGCAAGTCCGTCACCCTGGACCGTGTTGTCGACTCAGCCGTTGCTGTTGGCATGCACTTTGCCGTTGCTGCCGGTAACGATAACGCTGATGCTTGTAACTACTCTCCCGCTGCCTCCCAGAACTCCATCACCGTCGGTGCCTCCACTCTCGCTGATGAGCGTGCTTACTTCTCCAACTACGGAAAATGTACCGACATCTTCGCCCCCGGCTTGAACATCCAGTCGACCTGGATCGGAAGCAACCACGCTGTTAACACCATCTCCGGAACTTCCATGGCCTCTCCCCATGTCTGCGGTCTCTTGGCCTACTTCCTCTCCCTTCAGCCTGCCTCCGACTCTGCCTTCGCCGTTGCTGAGATCACTCCAGCTGAAATGAAGGCTAACATGATCTCCATCGCTTCCAAGAAACTCCTCACTGACATCCCAGCTGACACCCCTAACGTAAGTGTACCACTCATACATAACTCTTACACCTTAATTTCTCATTTTACTGACAAAACTGTTTATAGCTTCTCGCCTGGAACGGTGGTGGCTCTGACGACTACAAGAAGATCATTGGTGGCGGTAAGGAGAACGATACTCAGGAATTCTCCTCCCTCACCGAGAAGCTCGAGAAGTTGGCTGAGGAGGGCCTCACCGCCATCTACAATGAGCTCAAGGACGCCGTCGTTGCTTAAGCCGCATAATATAGGACTAACCCTATACTAATACGCCGCATCCGATACGTTACGCCTAGCACCATATCGGTGCCAGATGCCCTCGCACTATTCGTCCCACCACCTAGACCCGAAAGGTGCGAAAACACGAATTCAACTAATGGCACGTTGGATAATTCCAACATTGGCGCAGAATTTTTCTTTTTTGGTTTACATGTTCCCTGGGTGTGATATTACTTTGTACTGGTTATCTTCCGTTCCGTTCCCCCCTCGTACGTACCTCACGCTATGCTCTATCCACAGGTTGTGATTAGGAGAAACATCTCGTTTTCACACGCAGTTTTATATGGGTTGTCTATTATTACTTGCACTGCATGATGCCATTCATTATTTCGGGGCTTTTGTTCAGGTCAAACTACCATGGGTCGTTCTCAATGGCCCATACCTTGAGGCGCATAGATAGCTATTCTTTGAATACCTCCACATGCCGTCCCTAAAGAGGGTCAAACGTAAATAAAGCCGCTAGACAATGCAATTGGTTAGATAATGCATCATCATCTTCTGCTTCTCCACGTAACTATACTCAAGAGCTTGTTCCAGTCGCACGCGACTCGGGTTCGATAAACCAGGCGTAACTCGCTCCCCACATTCCATGGAGGCAAACGCTGCGCAAACCTTTTCATCCCATGATAAGCTGTTTGGGATGCCGTAAAACTTCCAACAGACGTGTAATATCTTCTTGAGGTGCGTGGTACCACATCAGTCAGTTTTACAACGCCAGTCATACATAAACTCCATGCATTTCTTGAAATTTTTATGTCCGATGTTATCATTGAACTTGCACGCGACTGAATAACTAGCTAGCTAAATATACAGGC